AACAACAAATACAATCCATACCTCCACTTCAATACATCAACTTTTATTAGTTTTTCCTATAAACATATGAAAAATCCCTTTTAAGTTAATCTCTTAGGTTGCCTGTAGTACATAGGTACCTACACGTAGAAAGATAACTATTTGGATCTATCTATTCGGATTCTAAACTCTCGAAGACAAAGGAATATTATTTAGTAGCACGTGTTGGTATCTTTTAATACCTATTAGCAATTAATAAATATCAGCAACATAATACAAACTAAGTTTCCCTAAATGGCTGTGTAAGTGGTAAATAACAAGCTATAGAGAATATCTCCTTGCCTAAAAATTTATATCCATTTCTACTGTAAAAAATGCTAAACATATTTGAAGGAGTAAGAAAACTAAAAGTGGGAGAAAGTTGTTTAGTTTTATGGTTTGGATAACCCCTTAAAATAGGTTAGGTTAGTAGGTTAGAACCTACTCACTTAATTTAGCAAGGACGCTTTTTAGCATGTTCTTTGTTCTACGTGCAAGGACAGAACTAAAGTTCGGCCGTTCGAATAGGCCATATTTGACAGCTGTCAAACCCATACTAGAAGTCATGGCAACAAAGAAAAATAGACCTTATGTCTTAGCATTTATATCCGTTAGACAGCTGTCAAATATGGCTTGTTCCAACGGCCGTACTGTAGAGCAAAGCATGTCTACTCGTCGTACGACGAAACCGATTTTTCTATTTTCGTTTATTTGCTATAACACGTAACAATTTCGTCTTTATGGGTGCTAGCTAGGGACGGATCGCTGTCAATAGTAAAAGGATTTACGAGCGAATGCCTATAAGTTGAGTAAAACGAGACATGAACATTCGTCACGAATGGTCAACTTTTTTACGTGAAGGGAAATCTTTGCGTCTCACCATTTTTCACGCTCTCAATCGCTTATGTTGTGTGACAAAGAAAGTGTTAGGTAATTCGTAAGTAGATATCAACGTACGTAGCTAAAAATAGTAAAATATGCTTTATGAAAATGTTTGTAGTAAAAATGAGTAGGTAGTTATACAATTTTTCATTTCCTTAATTATTAATTAATATTTGAGTACTTAACTAGGTTTTGTTTGATTCCAATATGTAGGACTAGGTTTTGTCCAAGGATTAGGTACAGTCTCTCACGCTAACTCATGAACAATTTTATTTTTGGTTTGGATTTTCTTGTGTACCGACTAGCCGGACAAAATATAAGTTGTTCAATTCAACAAATGGTGCTGCTTCTATAAAAGTAACAATTATTGCTGTAAAATGTTACAGTCTAAAAATTTAAACCTTAAAATTTTTAGATTGTTCATGATGAACGGGAGAGACTGTAACTACGTGGGTAAGTGACTTCCACAAAAAGGTGTCTTGAAAGGAAATTAGTTTTCTGATGTGGAAATGTAACAGAGAAATTCAATTTTCTCTCAGCTTATTATATTTCTACTTAAGTTTCTGTGAGAGCGGATATGTTTGGACATCAGACACCTCTATTAATAGACCGTAAGTAAAACCACATCATGAAATGCGATATCGATTAGCTACTACACTACACTACTTACCAAATTAGAGAAACGGCGCGCAGGGCGCCTATACAGATGGCTCACTCAGTACTAGCGACGAATTTTGACGCTTACTGCCTTTAACTATACTATTATTGGAAAAGCACAAACGGCGCGTTTGTGCTTTTCACTGCAAAAAAACTGGAATGTCAGGGAAAGTCAAGGTAACAAAGAGGATGTTTGGCACGAACGTCATATTTCTTGGATTAAAATTTGCCAAGAATCATAATAAAGTTCTTATATCAGACTTTACTGTTTTGATATTGTTAAAAATTTGAGATTTTTGTCAGTAGCAACCTTGGCTACGTAAAAAAAAAAACTTGAATAGGGTTGAGTTAACCATCTGTAAGCTCTCTATTTTCTGCTACTAACGAATAGACTTCTCTTTATTATTGCCTGTCTGTTTGATTTAAAGTAACCAGGTACCATAAGTGGACACTAAATTATCCTCGGCTAAATAAACTATCAAAGAAAGGCCAGTTATTACCATTACTAAACTTCTAATAACTTATTCAGGCAAATGGCGGAATTAAATGGACATAAATAAAGACTTTATTAAAGGGGTAGTAAATGTCAACAAGGAGATAAAATGACTAGGAAATTGCATTCCTTTGGAATAAAAATGTATCGTACATACTGCGTTTACCAATACACCTGCCAAACCACCCGCCAAGCAATACGAATATGGCACGGACCTTCCGTGTACAGCTGTCTATAGTATGCCATAGTTCATAAAAGATGCTACAAGAGGAATTTGATTTCACATAAGTGACTAGATGATCGTAATTATGATATTGATCCCTTCCACCGATTTCGGCCATGGCACCACTTCGACTCCTAATCAGAGCAGCATTGAGTAGCAATAGGTAACTACTTAAATACTCTTGATTCATCATCATCATCTGCCTGCCTTTATCCCAAATCAGTTGGGGACGGCGCAACATGGTTTGTTAGAGCACAAAAATGTAGCAAAAGGATTTTAATTTTTTTATGACCAGCTGCCTGCCTAACGTTAACCCTCTTTGGGAATGCTAAATATCTACTCCCTCCCTGCTACTCAACTGAACTATTCCTATAACTCTCCTAAATAAGAAAAAAATATATATCAAATTATAACAGCTTTGGCTTTCCTAAAGTAGTGTACCTGGCATGGTGCCGGTTTTGTCAACTTAGAGCAGGGGTCTTGAAATATGTAAAAGAAATATTAGGACGACCCCTAAGGATGATAGATATTAATATTACGCTACCACTGTGCAGGAAAGCCTTCACATGTAAATCATCAAGTGATATCCTCGAGTGGGCATCTGAGTGACGACCGTGATGAGACGATGACAGCCGTCCATGCTGACAGAACAATGATATTCATGCCCGATGCGTACACTCATCAAATCTAACTAAACCAAACATACAGTCGGTTCAGGAAACTAAAGACAAGTAGATGAGTTAAAAAACAAAAAACCCGACTGCGGTAATTTTAAAGTAGTATTTTGCTGTAAAAATCCGCCATCTTGAATCTATAATTTTTTAATATAGCCAGTGTCACTCGCACTGCTGAGACGAATCTAACGACACCTTACAACGTGTTACAAAACAACCAATAAATATCCCATACAAAGTGAGTTCATTTTGTATGGGAAGTCCAAATTTTTATTTCATATTTCGACCCATGTTCCATGGGGAAAGTTGTTCAGTTTCATGAGTACCTTGACCTCCTTTCAGCTTTATTGGTTGTTTTGTAACACCCAGTATATGTCAAAATCCAACTATCCGTTTGGGCTGTAGCCCGTGAAAAAGAATTTTCTTGTCCACTTACATACAAACATACATACTCTCAAAAAACATAACCCTCCTTCTGAGGCAGTCGGGTAACAAATTAAATGTAGATATGGTGGGGATTTGTTTGTGTTTCTTACAAAAGTTTTGTATACTAAATAATAAATAACATTGCCCGTTTCAGTATAGATAGGTACAAACAAATCCTCCGACTCAAGACTCTTAGACTTCTAAGAACATCCCTAAATAGGCACTGAAACTTTCAACTTCTTTCACTTTAACAAACTTGTCGTTTGTAATTTTTTGAGCTAAATAAATCACCCTGTAAGTATAGGCCTGCAGTCGAAAGTTCATTTTAATAACTCTTTGGAACAGTGACGCCGCTGTGCTTGTAACGCCGTGAATCAAAGATTGAAGATTGATCAATGGACGATACGATACGTGAGGTGATTGATCGTATGTGAATAACGCATGTAATTGTGAGTCTATGGGAGCGGGATAATTATATGTAAGCGGTACTGTTTAAAGTATAAATTGTCTATAGATATGTAGTGGATATAGATTCTCTGTAGTTATGTACCTAATACAGTGTGTCCGAAATAAAATTAAGAAGTAAGAATTTAAATATCATACTTCATAATATTTTTAAATATAGATAATCACAACTTACTCTGAAACAAGTGGCTCTTGTTCGTTTAATACATAACCTTTTCATCTAGAATAGAACTACACAAAAAAAAAACAGTTCAATTGCATGGTATCATCTCTAATTCTTAATCCATGACTGCTGGGTGGGACACCCTGTATTAACAAAATTTGCATTGGTAATATTATTGAATCTTACTTTCTCTATGGATTATAAATGGATTTGGATGCACGACTACGATTTGTTAAAGTTACAATTTTCTATTCCGTGTTCTGCTCGGTTGTTTTCAATTTATGAGAATCTCTTTGTTATTTCCCTGATGCTGTGGTTTTGTAATAAAAAGGTTTTCATCAGTGTAAAGTTAGATTATCCCGCAAACGGAGTCGTGGATTAGTAGCTGCGCCATTAACTGAATCCAGCATATAACCTTCGGCCTAACTTAGAGCAAATAATAAGGTAGAGAAATTGGTACAAAATATATTATTTTGCACATCATAATCTGCCTGCCCTTATCCCAAATCAGATGAAGTAGGCGCAACACGTTTTGTGAGAACATAAAATCATGTTGATAAAGGATTTGGCAATGTTTTATGGACCCTCTTTGGAAATGCTTTTGTAGGTGGTGGGTGGTATCTGAGTGGACTTGGTGTGCCAGTGTTCTTAGCTTCCACCACACGCTGTTGTGATGAAACTAAAGACGAGATGGAATTAAAGACACCAGATTTGCTGCTGTTCGATTGCATTTCATTTTCACATTGAAAAAAGTCCGTATGACGTCACTCATAGATTTATTGCTGGCCAGGTCCTCGACACCTGGGCTACCTTTACCTTGCTATTAAGTCTGAGTAGGCTAATGAATCATTTTCACGCAGCATTTAACTTTCCAGATTACAGAGTGCCGGCCAAGTCTGATCGGACCTCACCCTCGTAACGCGATTTTATAGTTAATTAATTACGGAAATCGAGGTAACCTACTGATCATGTTTTCGTGCAGAGTATAGGCAGATTACATGCATCGACCGGGCTTCTAACCCGGACCGCATGGATCAACGCCCCACCACTCTGCCACTGAGCTATCGATGCACCGATAGATGCCTGCCAAATTTTCATTTGATTCGGTCGATGCATGACACTTTCTCAATGTCCCATTTTTATTTATGAGAATAATATAGCACTGTGAGTGCACTAAAACACCAATAGAATCTTTGATGTCATAGGTAATCAAATAATTCGAAACGCAAAGGCATCCTTTACCAAAGTTTTTCACACCATGCTCAAAATGATGAAACCCTAATCCAAACGCAAGCTAAAATTAAGTAGATTATCTACTTAGGTATGCCCTTTATAATGTCAGTCGAGATTACCCACTCCATTTTGTGTAATTGAGAACCAATTTACATAGGTAAATAATTTTCTCATTTCGAGCTATGAATATAGTACCTACTTACGATCAAAGTGATCGCACACGTGACGGACAACATTGCGGATAGTGACAGCCACTTTGCAAATCTCTCTCTCTCTCTTTATGCGGATCACCGAGTCGTACAACGACCCGATAAATCCTGGTGTCAGAGTTTTACAAACGCTTGCCACAAGTAGCAGCCTCTGACATTCATGTGTAAGGACTTTCTTCTAAATAGTCATAGACAGCATCTAGGACCAACGGCTTAACGTTCCCTCCGAAGCATAGAACTATCTTTCTTTTCGGATAATCTGGGGTCTCGCCTGCAATGTCCTAACGTGTAACCGTAACCTAACATAACCTAACCAGAATGGGAACAAAAGTGATAAGATAACTTATAACTTTGGGAGTAACCCACCGAGAATCGAACCTTGAACCTTCTGCGTCGCTAGAAGTTGCACTACGTACCTACTAGCTTGCAAGTGACAACCAGTGACAGCTACAATTCGAAACAGACAGATCAGATATGATATCCGGTTTTTGTGCAATAAAATTTCCTTTTTTTTTAGTCCTGTTTTGGCAAAACTCCGTAAAATCTTGTGATACGTGTGAGAACCGCCTATGAATATAGTAGTTACGATCAAAGGCAGATGATTGATTATGTTGTGATTGTACAGCAATGCGATGATATATGATATTGCTTAACATACTTACTGATAATGCGAGAGAGTAGTGTTGCGAAAAGTGGAATACTCGTATGTAGGACTCTACACTGAAGATTTTATAAGTATATGGATGGGTGCACTATGGCGCAAGCTTGTATCCTATATAAGGTGTAAAAAAATCAACTGCAAATATTTAAAGGGGTGAACCAGTCCATGAAACTGAACAACTTTCCTCAAGAAACATAGGTCGAAATCAGAAAAAAAAATTTGGTTCTCCCATAAAAATTTACTCGGTCAGAGGTACATTTTGTATGGGTGGTCCGAAAACTTTTTTCATATTCCGACCTATGTTCCTTGGGGAAAGTTGTTCAGTTTCATGGGCTGGTTCACCCCTTAAAATATTTGCTGTTGATTTTTTTTACACTGTATAGATACCTAATTACCTAACCTACTACCTACCTACACTATTCTAGTATTCAGCATCTGCGAAATGTCCACTACTGGGCTAGACTTTCTCCAGGCGTCTCCTTTACTTTATGACCACTCACCAATCTACATACAAAATAAAACATCTTGATTGGCTGCAACATTTTTATTGAAGGCCTAAAAATCCATCTCAGAAAATCAATTTATTTTAGGTATTTTTATAAATTATATCCGCTATGGTTAGATGAAGTACAGTGTCAGCATTTTATAGAAACTAACCAGTTTATAAACTAACATACGCTATTTTCTATATTTATGGTATTAATTAAGTAATTAAGAACCTGCTTATCAACCTATTTATCTTTCTAGTTGTTGACCTTAAAATGAGAAACCTATTAGTACGAAATAAAATATTTATGTAGATACGTTTTAGGTCTAAAATACTTATTAGTTTACCTTTGTTATAATTTCAGTTTTATGGCTGTAATAATAATTGCTATATCTAAGTACTTATTTTAACTATCGTATTTATCTAACGAGCAGTAGCTAATCGGTAATCGACAATAATTAGTTCTCATTTGCCGTTTATTATCTGAAACGAGAATCATAAATAATAACATGAAACATTGGCCTCGAGAATGTTCCCGGAAAATACATTACCCTTTTTGTAATTACGGTCTGACGTATCATGAGCTGTATCTATCGAAAAGGGCCTTAGGGCGGCTTACACTCGCTAGTGGTACACTTTTGATACACTACTTCGTTACTACGCTATTATGGCCAAACCTTTACAATATGAGAACAAAAAACCCCGCATCGAATTGATAAGTCGTCGTCCAACATTCCAACCGTGATTACCATCTTGTATAACCCCCATCGGAAGCCGAAAACAAATTACTCCATATACAACGAAGTGTTGCCCGACTTAACCCCGTGACGGGCCGGCAATAAAACTATTTGGAATTTTAATAATAATTTATCGTTCTATTCTCGACGGCTTCCATACATGTTTGTAGAGAAGTTTCTAAAATAACTTTCTGAATTACTTAGAGCGGCTACTTAATGGAGAATTCTTGTTAGACGCAGCGGAAATCAGGATGCGTTTCTAGTGTCCATAGAGGGCAGGGTAAGTGTGGTTATTGGCATTGCGAACATGCGGAATCTGGACTCGCAAGAAGTGGCCGAGCAGCCTCCAGCGCGGCGGTCGCCGGTCCGGTCGCCGGCCACCGCCGGATGCCGATGCGCCGCAGGGAAAAACTCATAATTGATTCTGCGTAGCGTCGGCGTCGCAGCCACCAGGCGGTCCACTTCACAGCACCCTGCTATTAGAGGAAATCGCGGCCGACCCACCATAGCGCGTACCCATAAAAATACTGTAAGTAACTAGGTAGTTGCGCTTAATGCCGATGTTTTCTAATCTAAATCGATTTCTACGAAGATAGCTTTCCATTACCGCAGCTCCTATAGTATCGGTTTATTGGCTAAGTGCAAGCTCGTTTCAAACACGAATCTCGCATTCCACATCCGCACAATTGACATCTAAAAGATCGATTTCCTGTACAAGAGCAAATTAATACGAGCTTCGGAAGCGGCGTGTGTTATTACAAGCCGATAGGATAAGAGAGTTAGTTACTGTAAATTAATTACATCGAGGAACAGAGAACTGGATTGAATTTTAATTAATACGATGGATATCGAGCTAGAAGCCGTGTTATCTGCGGTTGAATTATTCTCCTCACGTCAGGTTGAGGGTAGACCCCGGCTGCCCCACTGCCGGCTTCAATGAATGCCAAATTATGCTCGTTCAATAACCATTGTCTATTAGGGGAGATTTGATATGCTGTATCATTGGAGGCTGGCATCGATACGGCATCAAGCCCTGGCTATACTTTAGCGGCCACAAAGGGCAACGAGACATGCAAATTGAGTCTCTATTATCCGCCGTCGGATGCGCCGGCGGGATTTACATAGGAATGGAACGTTCGCGGCAGTTAGGCGCTTCCGTGCCGGGTCGCGGGGCGCCGGGGCGCCGGGGTTCGGGGCGCCGCCCCCGGCCGGGGCTCCTGCCCTGCCTCCTGGCTCCTGCTTCGCCACGCCAGATGATTACAGGCGCAAATCTGGGACGCTCATTCATAACTCCGGCGAAAACGTTCACAGTCTAAATCTGCATAAACGCCCCATTACGGTTATGAAAATCTAATTTTATAGTTTCTGCATCTAAATATGAAAGCGTAATCGTGGTTGTTTTTACGGCATTCATAAGACTGGAATAAATAAGACGCCTTTAAAGCATATTGCACCAACGAAGAAGCTTTACCCTATCTACTTCGTGCGCAACATACAGACAGCACATTTATTATGGTTGCCTAATGACATTCGGGTGTTAAACACAATTAAGCAGACAGGTTTCATCAGTGTTGTCTAGTAAAAATATGGCTGCGTAATTAATTAGTGCCGGCGGTCAGTGAGTTCGACGAATGGTGTGGGTTGCGTTGCGTACAAACAGTCGAGCCTAACGAAGAAAAATATGCTTAGAAGGAACCCAGCTACGAAAAATTGGCTTTTTTTAGTTTTGAATAAGTCTTAAACATATCTCCAAAATACAAACGGCAAGTTACCTACAATATCTTTTACCTCTTTAAGCCAAGGCTGGTCATCATCATCTGCCTGCCCTTATCCCAATTTATTTGGGGTCGGCGCAACATATCTTTTTCTTCCATTTATCTCTATCACCAGCTGTGTCACCAGTAAAATCCTCACTTACGCCTTTATTTTTCATATCGTCTTTTATACAATCCATCCAAACTTTTTTAGGCCTTCTTCTTCTTCTGCGTCCATGGTGTACTGTGATAAAACCTGACGTTGTGTACGTCTTGCATATATTTGGGTGGTCTTGAGACGAGTTTATCGTCACTTCACTCTGCTTGTCGCTTTTCCCTTCAAACATTTCTAGTTTGAGTGGTCAGTATGGAAGTATGGACAGGGACATATTGCAGCCGCCGCCGCCTGGTCCTGCGGTGATTTGCGGTAACCTTGGACGAGCGGTATGGTGCGTACCTATATTGCCATGTGGGTGGTTTAGGCACGAAATAAAAAGGTTAGAAAAGGCTTGTTCTCGTCATTCACAACACTAGCAACTAAAATTTTACGATTGCTACTGTAGTTACTGCAACTATATTTATTACAAACGCAGGACACTACCGTTTTGGCTTGATTGTAGAGATAAGTGAGCGGACTGGTGTAATGTCGGCCTAAACTAAAACGGATAGGAGTGATAGGACATATCCTGAAGGGATGTTTCGAGATTTGTATCTTGTTGTTTCATCGTAGAAAAAGGAAATATGGTAACAAGAAATACTTCTAAACGATGTTTTTAAACGGCTGCTTTGCTTTCTATAAAATGACCTCATTGTTGAATGAGATTTTCCATCTCTTTGATTCTGCAAAATTACGAAAATGTATCTATCTGCTTACTTACTACTATTATACAACGTGTTACAAAACAACCAATAAACCTCCCATACAAAGTGAGTTCATTTTGTATGGGAAGTCCAATTTTTTTTTTATATTTCGACCCATGTTCCATGGGA